TCTCCGCAGAGGGTTGCGCGCGCATGGGACAAATCGCACTCTCGCCTGCATTTGGTGCACTCGACACGCACGATCTCCGCAGAGGGTTGCGCGTCAAGTCTCCAAAACGAGCGTTTCGTACGAGACTTCCTCAAAAACTCACACGCAAAGTCTGCAAAACGAGCGTTTCGTACGAGACTTCCTCCAAAAGTCAAGCGGAAACACCCATCGGAGCACACACATCACGCAGCCCTGCCAAGCAGTTTCGCGATTCCAGCCCCTCCAAACAACATCCGCTCACACGCCAATCCCAATGGGACAGCGACATTCACCTCTACCACAACTCACAACCTCACGATTCCCTGCGCCTGCCACGAATCTTTCCCCATCCACACGTCTAACGCGCACAAAGTACTGCGACTGCCACGAAATGTGACAATATCATCGCATGTGAGCTTCAACAAAATTTGCACCACACCACACGTTTGGAATGATTTCGACCCGTTCAGAGCACACTCCCATCCATCAAAATCGCCATTTCAGCTGAGACTTGTCACGACAACAGAGCTTCGATGCCACGCCCTGAAACGCAAATCCAAATGGCACGGCCACATCCAACACCCCAAAAACACGACTCTCCACACGCTAATCCCAATGGAACTGCGGAGCAATCAGCCGATCTCACAAAACGCTGCACCTGTGCAGCGAAACGCATCACGTTTCTCGCGCGACATGTCCTGCTCCTGCAAATCACAATGGATTAGCGGTGCCAACTCACATGTGACACGTCCATGCAAAGTCACTTGCAAAAGCTTCCCCCAATGGCAGCAAATTTGAGACGCGACGACGACGACAAACGACGAGAGACGACGACAGACGACGACAGACGACGACACGACGCAGGCCATGCAAACACATGTCCAACCCCCACACCCCCAACTATAAACGGGAACCCTTCGCTACGCATTCGGGAAAAACCCATCATAGCTGTCATGTTGCATCTCCCTCTTTGGAAGGCTTCGTGCGGTTAATGGCATCTCTTTCGGGGCATTTTGTGCCACTTGAATTGTTTTGCATCCTTCTTTTCTTGGAGACTTGATGGAACAAGTACACCGACACTACTTGGATTTCCACAAAAACCCACATGGTGGGATCTATTCCATTGAAGGGCCATTGGTGGCTTTTGTTGAAACTTGTGTGACTCTGTCTAAACATGCCTGAACCACTCGCCCAACCCACAAACTGTTTCTTTTAAATAGGCCAGTGTAGACTAGCCACCCATACCTGAACAGCAAAACATGTGTTGCTTCTGAATTGTGATGCCTCTGAGATCCTATGAGACTACAGTTGTCCCTGAAGTCGGTGGAATACAGAACTCTTAGACATGCTTATTCTATGTATATTCTATCAATTTCTATCACAGTTTTCCATACAGGCTCGGCAAAGCTGGTCTTCGTGAGTCCAGGGAAACTTGATCATCGTTTTGATCATTTGTGTGTGATGTTTGACTTGACTATAGTCACCAGTCACTGGTCTCAGAACGTCTCTCAGTGGTTCACGGGTTCCAAGACTCATATAGACCGGTAGACCGGAGTCTGAGAGGTTATAGACTCTGGCAACCCTATAGAGACCAAGCATCAGCCTGTAAGTTCGAGCCCCTTCCAGAGGGTTTGGGCAAACCAAACATGCTTTCGCCTTCAGATGGTGACAGTAAGTCTGAACGGGCAGGTGTGTTCATGGACTTCTATACTCCAAATCGGATGTTTTATCGGGCAGAGGTATAGCCGGTAGCTTCAACAGGCTCCAAAAACACCGCACCACATCCACGGCCCCCACGTGAGGCTCCCCTGCGTGCTCCTGGCACGCAAGCTCTCGCGCGCCGAACTCCAATGGCTCTCGGTCGTGGGCGAGAACGAAGACGACGAGAAAGCACCGCCGCAGCGCGCGCGAGCGCGGCGGCGATCAGCGCCGCGGAGATCGCGGTGCTTTTGGACCACGCTGGTGGTGGCTTGGAGGTGAAAAATGCATGGCACTAAGCACGAAGTTCTCAACACCGGCCTGAAACAACATATGTCTTTAACATGTTTGTTTAAAGTCTGTTGCTATTTGTTTTATCGAGGGGCTCTCCTGACAAATGATTCAAGTGTCCGATCTGGATAACATGTGGCCTCTCCATTCGGGTTCAAGATGATCAAGAGAGCACGGACAAGATGATCAACATAACATTTGAGGTACACTACCCTCAAATTGCATTTACTGACTCCCTAAAGAACAGATCATGAAGGTTTTGTCTCCCTGATCTCAGGTGGGTCTCAGTTGGCTTCCTTGGCTTCTGGTGATGCTCTTCACTGCATGGCTTCCTGTGTGGCTGAATCTGTGCTCTTGTCGGATGGCAGCAGTGTGCGATGTGGACTGGCTGGGCTTTCCCAATGGCTGCCGCTGTCCTTCCAGAGGACTGGTTTTGTTTGTGACTGATTTTCAGGAACCAGAACACTGTTCAGAACACCAACCAATCTAGAACCACCGGCCATTGAGTTAATGTTCACCTCTCACCCACAGCCGAGTGGATGTTGGATTGTGGGCCGCCTTTTGCCTTTAACCATTTGGCGGACAGGAAGCAGGTAAACAATCAGTACGAGCATTACTTGTCAAGTTGTCGTCCAATAGAAACACACTCAACACCTGGCAGATTGAACACGGGGGTACATTCAAAATGATCAACATTACTTGCACCTGAGACCAGGCACATCTCCGGTGTCCTTGTTGTGGTCTTGTGCACCTTGTGGCCAGCTGGGACAGTTCAGACTCACCAGAGTTCAGAACTGGAATCCAACCAACGCGTCTCACGCAACGCTTGGGGACTCTGACCGTTCGGTTGAGCCGGGTACCAGCTTCCTGAAGTCGTATAGGACAGGATCGACTGGGTTAAGAAAACTGGTATGCAAGGCATTCCCTTCTGCAAGAGTCTTTGTTGCCCTGCGGTGAAAGACCAAGTCTTTCTTCGCCTGTGTCAATCCAGTCAGACAGTCAGACAGGCTGTTTATATATTATTCAAGTTCAGTGACAGTGTCATGATGCACAGCCCCCACTTGCGCTGGGCGACAAGGTAGCCCTTTATATAGTTGGTTTCTGTTGGTTTTATTCAATTCTTGTCGATGCAGTAAAACACTATCAAAAGGAGCATGCGTTTGTCCGAGACTCCTTCAGAACTGAGTCCTTCATGGCACTGACATTCTCAACTGGATCCTGTAGGCGATCGCCGCTAGCCATAGAAATGAAGATTTCATTGACGGTGAAGCATTTGTTCTTGAAGTCCTGCCGGACATGTCTGGTCGTGAACTCAAGCAGCAGATCAGAGAGCGACAGATTTGGGACGAGGAGCTGACAGGAAGAATGGCTCGGGTGGAAGTCGTGGTTGGAGACAGCAAATTGCTGGCGTTTGACGAGACACTTGCGGACGCCGGCCTTTCTCCAGATTCATTCACACGTGATGGTGCTCTTCAAAGAGAACACAGTGAGATGCTCCGACAAACGTCCCATTTTTGAAGCCTGTCGGAATCCGACATCTGAGATTGACTTGGAGACTCCCTTGATTGCCATTCAACTCCCAAACAATGTGACTCAAATTGAACTCCGAGTTTTTGAAGATCTCTCCAACTTGGGAAAAGTGACCATCTTTGATTCTGTGATCCAGATTGGTGATTCTGCCTTCAACCGCTGCAATCAATGGACGACAGCCAACATTCCCAACTCTGTGACCCATATCGGATATGGCAAATGCAACCATCCCCAACTCAGTGAGCCACATTGGCGGTGGCGCCTTTTTCAAGTGCAGCTCGTTGTCAAGTGTCACTATTCCTGACTCGGTGACACACATTGAGGAGCTTGCATTTGCTTATTGCAGCTCCTTGAGAAGTGTGAAGATGTCAAACTCAGTGACCCACATTGAATGTCATGCATTCGCAAGCTGCAGCTCTTTGTCAGGTGTGACCTTTCCGAACGCAATAACCTGCATTAGGAACAGTGCCTTTGAGAACTGCCAGTTCCAGACGGCCTGGCGGGGGATATATATATATATAAACACTCTTGGACAATTGGCCGTCACATTTCACATGCAGACACAAGGGATACGATTCACTAGTGAATGTTCTTGTGCATGTTGCCTTTTGGATCAATGCTCAGTCTTCCGGGGTCTAACATGCTTTATGGTTTGACAAGTCGTTTAACTACAGGATCGGGCATGTTCCAGCATTGATCCAGTTTGACCAAGAAAAAGCCAGCAATAAAATACATCAACAGATAAACCAAAATACATCAACATGAACAAAATACCACTATAAAATGAATCAAATTCGTAGATTCCGCCATACCTGTTCTCCAAGTAAATTACGATCACGGGCATTTGGGAGTGTCGATCACGATCGCCGGCATTTGGGAGCCGGTCACATGATTGGAGAGTTGGGAGCGTTGGTCACTGGTTCCGGAGGTGTCAACGCCCATCAACGCCCATTCGCGGCCGTCACCAACTGCCCACGACTGTCGCACGCCTGCAGGAACAACTCCGGACGATATTGAGTATCTGAGCTGATATATCCCTATAGGGCTCCAGTTGTACCTTCTAAGAAGATGGTTGGGGTGGGTGCCAGGGAAGTCTAACCACCTGAGGATGTGGTGTTTCAGCCCTGGGGTATATGTGATTTGTGGCTGACCCCCTGACTGAGTGCTCAAGCTGACCCGACCGAGGACCCTGCTTTGTAGGGAAAGGGAGCTTTCCAGGGTCGATGATCAACCCGCAGTTCACCAATATCTTCAGTGTAACGCTGCTTTTTCAGTGCTGAGGGAGACATGATCCCCACGTATGATCTCTACCATGTTCCAGTTCTGTTCGCTCCTTTCCCTGCGAACGCGAGGTATCTCTATAAGGGTAGCGACTATTGCTGGCACTGCCCTGAGAACATGCTCTCGGTGGCCTCTGCCGAAGAGTCTGCGGACTGCGTTTGCGACGCCCAGTCGATCCCATGTCACCTGGATCCCATGTCGTTCAACGCGCTAGATCGAGAGCGGCTGGAGTTCAACGTGTTTAGCGAGCGGGTTTTCTTTTTGCTTTTGACGATCTCCCGCAAGACAAGCTGGGTGTGACACTTTGCCAGCCTGAAAGAACCCTTTTCCAGAGTGGTTTGAAACCTGGTCATGAGACATGGTAGATATTGGAGAGTCTCAGGTGCGCGGTTCTCACGGTTCTGATGGAATGCAGCAAAAGGCTTGTGCCCCCCAAAAAAGAGACTCAAATAACAGCAATCTGCCAAAAGACTATCAAAAGACACTGAACATCTCCTGACGTGTTTGCAGGAGAGAATATTTGGCAGTAGATTGTCCCGGAGTCATTTGTAGCGACACGTTCGCAATCTCACAGCTCCAATGCTTTTGTCCCAGTGGACTGATCAGATTCAAGAGATCCAAAGGACTCCAGCACTCTTTGACCTTCCTGATAAGGATTCTCCCTGATTAAGTTGTTTCAAACAAGGATTTTTCCGTCATTTCCCATATCAATCTGACCATTCTCAAACGTTGCTCCACCACAGGTTGTGGTCAGGATGGTTTCGTGAACTGTTCCTCCTGGGGCTGCGGCAGTGGCGAGTGTGCCCGCTGCCCGAGCGGCTTCAGCGTCTTTTCATTCCGCCATCAACAGCAGCGCTGCGTTTGCGCGGTCGTCCGGGCAGACAGCACTACCGCTCCGATGACGCTGCCGAACCAGTGGCAGTTGGACTGCGAGATGTGCAGTGGAAGCTGGGAAGATGTTGGATGTGTTTGATGTGTTTCGTTTGGGTTACTAGTACCTCGTCCGACGTCTTTGGAAGTGCAAACAACCAGACAAGCTTAAGAAAAAGGTGATTTTGTTGTGCCGGTGAGGTGATGGATGACGTTCTAAGTTCTAACAGATGTTCCTCCCTTAGGACAAGAGATATATCCTTCGCTGGTCGCTTCGATGGGGGCAAAGAAAGCACTCCCAAGCATTGATTGTGGGGAGGACACATGTTTGGAACGATTTCACGTTGCAAAGGAAGCGATGCCCTGTGGAATCCTTGGAACGGTGCAGGATTTCCGAGGTCGATGGTATCAACCCCAACTGATCAATTAGGGCAGATGATCGTTTTGAGAAGCCCCCGGGACTTGCCATGCATGTGCGAATTCGTATGGCAACAGCCTGCATCGCTCGTGGGTGTTGTGGCTTTTGCTTAATTTAACTCATGGAGTGCGAAGAACTTGGCTGTTCATCCATCTTAGCTGACATCCTACTGCAAAGCTCAATGCAAGGCAGCTTCTTCTTATTTGGATCTCAGAAGTCAGAAGAAGTATCTCATCCTCCAGATTCTCCAGATTAATTAATCCCATGTTGGGTCCGGGTTCTTCTCATCCACCCCTGCAAAGCACACCTCAAACAAAGAAACGCGTCGCGCCAAAACCAGGAACCAGCGAATGCCTTTGCCCCATCGGCTACTTCCTGGCAGACACTGGCAACTCCTGCATTCAATGTCCAGACGGCTCAAGCAACACAGAGCCTGGCGCCTCGAGCTGCAACGTGGGGATCCAATTGGACGTGCCCATCGCCTTGGCAGGCGCATGCCAACGCTCGCGAACAGCGTGCGCGTGAGGGGATATAAAAACTTCCATTGTGGCCACACAATTTTACAAGCATAACCTTAAGACCAACGAAAAGGAGCTTTCAACAAGCATGGCTGTAAATTTAGGAACCACTTGGCTTTAGTAGTTATAGGGTTTGAGCTTTATCGCGGTGAAACGTGACATGAGGAATGTCGGTGAGCAATCGAAGAAATGAGAAGGCATGGGAATCCACAGCAGGATGCTACCCTTTTGTAGGCAGAACCGCAACAGGTTGTAGAACCTTCAGATCCATTAGGTGTAGCCAGACCTCCGGTTTCCGGACTGCATTATAGGTTATGAATACCAAATACCCCTGTTTCCTTTGTTTCCTGACTGCATGAAGATTGAGTGTTGGAACTTTGATCCACCATATGCTATAGGATTCTAATGGCACCAGACTCTACCACCACAGATGACTCACATCCCATTGGACTCAGTCACTGCCAGGTTTTGTTGCAATTCTCTACACCCTTTGTCCCCTCCTCGTCGCCTGTTGGTTGCGCTTCCGCTGGCCGATGATGCTGGACATTTTGGTGTCCTCGTTGGACTTTGGCTCCGACCTCTTTTGGCTTCTCACCGGCCGCTTCTACCAGGCTCGGAACTTGGCCAAGCGGCCTGGTGGTCAGTCCGAGTGTTGACCTGTTGACCCCCAGTGTTTCTGCCGAGAGCAGAAGGAGAGTTCAAGCATATGATGACCCAGCACTGGCCAGCACCAGCCAGCGGTAGATATATGTGTTCGCACCTTTGCAGCGGTGGTTCGAAGTGAACGAAGTGATCCGGGAGAGATGTTGTTCCGAGTGTTCCCTGATGGGCCAGAAGCGAGGCCCCGACTCCGTAGAAGTGGTAGCCAAGTTCAAATGGCGATGCCCTTTGTTCCGTTTGTAGCTTCTTGTTCCTAGTAGTAAGGCCAGGAGCTACAGTTAGTAGCGTCCTTGCTCGTAGTAGCGATGACCTTTCTTCCTAGTAGCTTCTGGTGGAAATATACATAATGTTCAAGCTCTTATCATCCACTGCAATCATTGGGTGTCTCATTAACGCCCCATCCGATCGCCATGTTCTGCTCCGTCACAGGATTTCGCTGGAACCACTGGACTCCGTAAGCGCCGCGCCGCTTGAACAACGAACCGCTTGTTTCCTGCCAGGAAGCCACGCTGAGATTGGGCTTTTGCTTCGTATTGGGCAGTAGCTTGGTCTTCATTCTCGCCTTCTATTTCCGTGGCTGTCCCCCGCTCTTGCTCCGCATCCTGGAAGAGTCGGAGGCCCCGGTGAGCGTGGGCGACGTGGCAGAGGGCATGGTGCCGTGGCTGCTGTTGCCGCTGATCTTGCCGTGGAAGACCCTGAAACTCGTTCGGGCATCAAGGGATCAGGCATCAGGCATCATCATGTTCTTCATTTTCATCAGAATTATGATGATGATGATCATCATCATCATCATCATCATCACCATCACTCACCATCATCGTCGTCATCGTTTGTCGTCCATCATCCATCACAGAATTCAAAGTTTGCTTTTCGTTCCGGACGCAGTACCAATCCACGCTGGAAGTGTGGAGCAGTGAAGCGCACATGCAATTCCAAGGAAGATTATCGCTCGTGGCACTCTTCGCTGTCTTCGCCGCCAAGACCCTGGTTTTGCAGATTGAAAGGGTGTGATGGCGTGTGTTGTCACCAACGTGTTGTGTTTTTAATTTCCTTTCTTGCTTGTTCAGCCTCCAAATTCATGGCTCAAATCCTCCAGGAAGTGGTTGATGTTCCAAGTTGCCGTAAGCAGTCTTTCTTTGCTTTTTGGTTCAATGCCCAAAGGATCCCAAACTCCGATGCGTAGATTCCGCATCCCATTGGTTGGACGTGTTCTTGGGATTTCTGTTATAGGGTGTTAGGCAGGGACGGCCCAGAGCTCTTGTTGGATCGGACTTGATCTTGCTTTGGGTGACATATTGGATTTTATCAGGCTACTGCGCTTTCTGGGTATGAGTCAAAGGGATTGAACATGCAAACCTTAGGTTCAAACATCTCAAGATGAACATGATTGAACATCATGTTTGGTCAAACCTATCAGGTTCAAACACCTCAAGAAGAGGGCATCTCGCAGGTCCTTAGGGTCCTCTTTCTTCTACTCGGTTCTTCATCGTGACGACTGGTGTTTTCCACCTCCACCCCGCCTTCCACCGCACCGCGAGATGGAGCGCACCGGTCGGCCGTTTCCTCGCCGGGTCGGGCGCTCTCACCCGGTCGCCCACATGGTGAGGACGTCAAAGGCTGCGTGTGCCGGTCCAGAGCTTTAAGGATCTTGGAGAAGGCTCGGCAGCGCCTTCTGCGACGAGGAACTTATCAGGTCTTTGAGACGATTGAAGGGGAGCTGCAATACTTGGTGGCTTGGCTGTTTAGTGACCTGTTTTCCTCAACTGTTTTTTCTATATATACTTGGTGTTGCCCAGCCGGGGTTCATCAGTTTGCTGTGACTCAGTAATGAGCCATTTGTAGAGGGGATCCTTGTAAACCACAGGATTTGTGCCACCCAAACCGCTGTAGCAATTCATGGCACTCGATTGATGGTGTTTATGTTTGATGGCGCTGTCGACGGCACTGGAACCAGTACGTTTAGAACTGGGCGATCACCGGGACCGGAGCTGCTCCATTTGAGAGACTGATCGAGACGGCCAAAAGATATTGCAAGATCCCATCACAGTGCCAGTCAAGTCGGGGAGTTTCAAAGGTCTTTCTGCCATTGAGCCTGCTTGGACCGTTTTTGTTGGAAGATAAAGGTGAAGGACCTCTCTTTTGAAGCATCCCACCACGACAGGCGATTGTCCAGTGAAGATTGGAGAGGGATTCTCTTGTGTGTCGTCTCTCTTTTTGGAATACAGCCCCCGAAAGGCTGCAGACTAGCTAACATGCAGCATAAGTTCCATCCCTTAAGAAACAGTGCTTTTGAAGGGACGACGCTCGTTTTCCCAGTCGGGGGAGTGAGAATCGGTTCAACGTCTGTTTTTTGGCGAATCACCAACCCATGACCTATCCCAGAGGCACCAATGTCCGCAACTATTGACATTCGAGAATGGAGCCTCAGGGTCATACATGGAGCCTCAGGGCATTGACATTTCTACTAGTAACAAGGACGCTATGAACGGGGCGCTCCTGGCCTCGTTCCTCATCTCAGGTCGCCAATCTTTGCGTCACGATGTGTTTGATTCTCTCCTTGGCATTCGGTTGGCTGCTGGTGGCACTGGGTCTCCTGGCTGCGTTCGTGATCGCCGTGGCCAGCGCTTCGGCCATGATCCTGATGCTTCCGGTGCTCATGGTCCTCGCTGGGCTCTTCGGAGTCATCGTGATGCTGATGTACCTCTTCTGGTGTGCCCTGTGACTGGGCCTCCAAGTTGATCAGCTTGAGGTCCCCGTAACATGTGATAGGTTGTAGAATACATTTAGTGATAGGAGGCAGTGAGGAAGTTGGCAAGTGTCTCCTTCTCAAGATTTATGAACGAATATAGAACTATTCTCCAGTCTAGTTTGTTCTCAAGGCTCATGGAGGCGAGTGCAAACAGATCGATGCACCCATTGGGAGCCCCACCCATTGGGAGCCCCATTGCGATAGAGACGCGAGACGCGAAGGCGAAAGAACCTGTGGGGTTCACCCAGGCTGAGCCTGGTGGTGATCGTGGGCTTGATCCTCTTGGGCATGCTGCTGCACTTGACTCGCTTGCTGGCCGCCGAGGTGGTCTCCAGCTGGTACGGCGCGTTGTGGGCACGACAGGATCCGCAAAGACACAAGCTGCCTCAGTGCCCTGGAGCAATTGGAGACGAGAATCAAGTCATCAAAGGCTCCTACACCTTGTGTGACATATATATATATATTATATTGACATATATTGACATGTGCCAAGTACAGTCAATTCGTATAATTTCGTTCCGATTTTGGGATGCCCTTTCGCAAACGCTTCGTTTTTGGTTGGCCAGTTATGACTAGTATTGGTTTCTCACCTTTGTCCCTCCACCCAGGAGCCCCTCCTCGTCGCCCAGCCTCCGCGCCGTGGCCGCTGAGCCGCCCTCGCCGTCTCCGCCGCCGACGTCGGCGTCGGCGCTGCGCTTTCTGCCGCAGGAGTCGAGTGGAGGGTCGGAGTCCAGCAGGTTCCAGGGTCAAAGTAGAGGGGGAAAAACACCTAGCCAAGTAGATGGGACACTAGGTCAATACTATATAGATATCCAGGTCACCAGGTATTTAGGGCACGCATTCACCGATCAATATATGGCAGTTGCTCATGGCTGGAGAGGTTGGCCTTTACTTCCGACCGTGTCGTGGAGCTCCAGGTGGGTGATGAATGGGACACCCGACACTCCATGTATTGGGCCGGTGTCTTTTCTTTTCGGGGTCCATGTAGGGTGGTCCATCACCACCCTAGGTTTCTGGATGTTTATGGTGCCGATCACTTGGCAGTTGGGGTGTTTTTTTTGGGGGGTCAATGGGGGCAACCTATTTTTGACATGGAGTGTTTGTTTCATTTGGGGTGGGGTCGTTGGAGAGTCGTTCGAGAGGGCTCCCGGTGAGTTGGAGTTCGGGACTGAGGTCGACGTCGACTTCTGCCTTAGAAGGGCCTAGAGGGCCTAGAGCCAGCTAAGACAAAGACAAGGTGAGAGTGGACAAGGGTTCAATCAGATCATAAACCTGGTTTTGCTTAGGGGAATTTTAGTTTTACCTATGGGTGAATACCCTTTCAAGTTTCAGTTTGAGTAAATCCAAAGTCAAGGGGGTGCCGTCGGAATCAAACGCTTGGAGTATATGATAGTACATGAACATGTGCAGGGTCACTTAAAATTGATTGTTAGTAGGCTTTGTTGGAGTTATATAATATGATTTTAACCTTGATAACTGTTGGTACCTTGACTCTACTTGATATCCTGTTGGTTTTGTTGGGACATGATTTTTAGAAACAGGTAGTACTCGTCTACTCGTACGTTTGGACTTTACAGTCACCACTGCAAGGTACTACATTGGATGTTTGGGATGCTGCTCTTTGTTTGAATCGAACCTGTTGTAATGACATCAACATCGAATCAGTCCAACACTCAGGATGCGTCCATGTTCATCCATTTTCCATGCAAGATTCAGGAGGTTGGGACTGGGACACACATCTCCAGTCCAAGATTCCATCCAAGATGTTCGCACTCTTGATCTTCAAGGCGTGAGTCACCACTCAACCCCCCAAAGTCTGATAAAGGAAAGGGTTGAGCATCTAGTCCGCATTCCAAAGTCTTTTCATTCGAATGGCTGTAGGCGAAACCTGGCGAAACCAACATGGCCATTAAAAAAGAGCACCAAACAAATAACACATGGTCGACGCATCTGGTAGTAGCTTCTGGCTCCAGTAGTAATGCCCTTTGTTATCAGATAGCTTCTTGTTGCTCCACCCAAACCGATTTTCTTTGCGCCACAGGAGCCAGATGGTGAACCTCCTCCGTTGGCACCCGCGAGCCCACGCACCGCGCGGCGCGAGCGCGAGTGGGCGGAGCTGGAGTTGAGGAGCTTCGCTTGGAATGAGACGTTGAAGCTTGGAATGAGACTTCGGACGAACGCCCGGTGGTGTTTTTGGTTTTTGATCCCATGGATCAATGGAATGTCAATGGAATGACAATGGAATGTCCAGGTGTTGTTGCGAATTGGTCTTTGGTTGTTGTTGTTTGTTGGCTTTGTGTTTTTTGTCTGTTTTTTTATGCCAGGTGTTGTTGCGTAAGAACAATCCCACTTTTTTATGCCGGTTTTGTTCAACATTCCTAGTGGGTTTATGCCAGGAATGTCCAGGTGTTGTTGCGTAAGATTGAACTTTGGGTCTATCCCGAAGAAGCAAACTGCCCTTTTTTGGAGGGTGTTGGGATGGCAATAGCAGGTCAACCGTTTCTTTCAATAGCATGAACCCCTTCAGGGTCCAATCCAACTGAGGATTCGATTCAGATGATTGAGGAACGTTAGCCGCCACTGTTTCACCCCCAACAAGCACAAAAACCAATGGCTCGTTGACCGGCGTCCACCCCGAGTTCCGGAATCGGGTTCAGTGCTGGTGTACCATCTACCACGTTGTCAGCTGTAGAAGCCTTTAGCTTCTGCATGCTTCTGCATTTGCTTGAGAATGTAGCGGCTACGAACCCGTTTTTTGAATGGCGTGTCATCGACCCAGCTGGCGTTCTGGGAACTGGTGGGGTTCCAATTGGTCTCAAAAATACATGTCCTTTTTGCCCATTTGGACCTCTGTCCCAGTGGATCATGTAGAGCCCAACCCATCGTCCTTTGGGTGTATTCTAGCATGTATTCGTTCGAGCCCAACCCATCGTCCTTGGGGCGGGTTCCCGGGGGTTTCCCCCATTTGACCAATCAAGGTGGAACTGGCTGGTCTTTGGCGAGCTCGTGTGTGAAACACTGCCAATGCTCGTGCTGAACGTGTGGAATTGGACGCTGTTGGAGGGGGCAGGCGTACCTGATGTGAGCCTGGCGAATGTGGGAGCCCTGGTGTCTTCATGCATGATGTTGGCCAGACTGGGCTATTGGCAGTTCTATCACGTGTGGTTCAATGACTACGGGCGGCTTGAAGTTCAGAAGTTTAATTATAAACGTCGTTGTAAAAATGATACTGTACTATATGACTATATGTATACATGTGTTTCATTCATCTGAGTATGACCTAAGCTTGTTTTGCATAACATCTGCAGTTCAGATCAAAAGGGCCAAGACAGTACAAAGACAGATTCAGTTCAAGACCACGAGAAGGTTCTCCTTCTCAGACTGGTATCATCCTCAGTTGACTTGTATTTGTCAAATGAGCAAGTCTGAGAAGGACCAAGGACAGTCGTTGGTATTTTGTTCGGAACAGGAAATGTATACCTGTATATGTATACCACCTAAATCATCATAAATCTACATAACTCACTTAACATCGCATAACGAATATGTACCATTGTGGAAACCCGAGTTATTTCCGAGTTATTAGACAGATAAATTACAGTATAGGGTATCGTAATGTCACATGCTGAAACAGACAAGTTATAGATAACTCTTGTGAACACGAACTAACAAGTGAGTCACATTTCAATCAATGACAACGAGATTGTACAGTCATGGGTTGGTTGGATGGTCGTCCATGGCTGACCTAGTAATGAAGTACCCATGAAGTCCTTGGCCTCTTTGGGGTTGCTATTTGTTGATTTTTGTTGTCCCAAATGCACTTTTGTTCGCTGTCATGTGAAGGTGCTGGGAGCGTGCCAGAAGGGTAACCTATTCATATCATATATCTATATTTTTAGATATATGCATGTATACAGTCATACATGGCATCAGATGTTAGAAACGTTAGAAAACACTGAATGTGAAAGCAATGTATGAAAGAGACAAGTGACCGAAACCAACATTCCACCGGACTGGCAAGGCCTTCCAGTCTTTGCGTGTTCCATGGCACGGCCCCTTCCCAGGGGTATCCTTTGTGTGGACCGAGGGTTTTGAACAATTTCCATACAAATTCGACTGCAAATTTGATGTAAGTCTCCAACTGGCCCACATTGGCCAGGCTGGAAGGAACTTGCGCACATGTGTGCCTCGATCACTTCTTCTTTTTCTTCTTCTTCTCCTTCTTCTTCTTTGTTTTCTTCTTATTATGTGTTTTCTTTGTTTGTTTCTGGATGCTCGTGGAGACGTACTGAAGAGTGATTTGCAGTCATGGTAAATTCAAGCTATCTGAACGGCTATTCAAATTAAGTAAATGGCAGTGGTTGAGTCTGGGAACAAAAAACTGACAGAACTTGAAGCAGGGAAGCCCATAAAGCTTTAAAGGGCTGGGAAGCACATAAACATGCAAGGGCTGGGAAGCCTGTACAGATTTAAAGGGCTGGGAAGTCCACAAAGCTTTAAAGGGCTGGGAAGACCATAAAGAGCCCATAAAGATTTAAAGGGCTGGGAAGCCCATAATGATCAAGGGCTGGGAAGCCCATAAAGATTTAAAGGGCTGGGAAGTCCCAAAATGTTCAAGGGCTGGGAAGCCCATAAGGATCAAAGGGCTGGGAAGCCCACACAGATTAATGGGTTGGGAAGCCCATACAGATCCAGGGCTGGGAACCCGATCAAGATAGAACGGGCTGGGAAGCCCATAAAGATCAAAGGGCTGGGAAGCACAAAGGTTTTGAAGGGCTGGGAAGCCCATAAAGATCAAAGGGCTGGAGAGCCCACACAGAATTTAATTGGCCGGGAAGAACAAACTGGTTCAAGGGCTGCGACGTTCCTAAAGATATAGAGGGCTTTGAAGCCCATAAAGAACCAAGGGCTGGGAAGGCCATAAGGATATCAAGGGCTGGGAAGCCCATAGAGATTCTAAGGCTCAAAAATCACATACAGATCAAAGGGCTGGGAAGCCCATAAAGATTTAACGGGCTGGGAAGCCCATAAAGATAGATAGATATATATAATGCAGGGAAGTCCACAAAGGTTTTGAAGGGCTGGGAACGCCATAAAGATCAAAGGCCTGGAGAGCCCACACAATTTTCCATGGGCTGGGAAGAACAAAATGGTTCAAGGGCTGAAGCCCATGAAGATCAAAGATCGGGGAAGCCCGTAAAGATATAGAGCCCTTTACACTTTTTTGGACTTCCCAGCCCCTTGATCTTCATGGGCTTCGCAGCCCTTGAAAACTTTATGGGCTTCCCGGCCCTTTAAATCCTTATGGGCTTCCCAGCCCTTTAAATCTTTATGGGCTTCCCAGCCCTTTGATCTTCATTTTTATGAGCTTCTCAGTTGTGGGCTTCCCAGCCTATATATCGTTATGGGCTTCCCAGCCCTGGGTAGCACATAAAGATCAACGGGCTGGGAAGTCCACGAAGGTTAGAGCGCTGGGAAGCCCATAAAGCTTTAAAGGGCTGGGAAGCCCATAAAGATCAAAACGCTGGGAAGTCCACAAAGGTTTAAATGGCTGGGAAGCCCATAAAGATCAAAGGGCTGGGAAGCCCACACAGATTTTAATTGGACACCCAAAAAAATTCAAGGGCTGGTATATAAGCCCATAAAGATCAAAGGGTATGGCAGTCCACAAAGGATTAAAGGGCTGGGAAGCACATAGAGATCAAAGGGCTGGGAAGCCCCTAAGGATTTAAAGGGCTGGGAAGCCCATGAAGATCAAAGGGCTGGGAAGTCCACGAAGAGTTACAGGGGTTGGAAGTTCACAAAGAAGTACACACATATACTGTCTATATATATATAGGGCTAGGCAACCATAAAGATTGAATCGGCTGGGAAGACCAAGAGCTGTGTCCATTGTTGTTGGAATTGTTGTTTAGTTTTTTGTGCATGCAGCATCCTCACAGCTGTTTTGGTTTCCGGGGCGACCATGGGCGCGGGCCACACAGCATGGTTCCTCAGATTTTGCAACTGTCTGTGACTCACTTTTCAACTGATCTTTCATGTGCAATCATGTTTGAGACACGATTGTTTGTTGCACACTTCTGTCACTTGGAAAGAACCAACGCATCACAATCGGTGCCTTGATTCAGGAGACGACCCTGGTAGAGGAAATCAACCCCCAGAATGACAAACCGTACATTTATGAGTATTTATGTTTGAACAAATACAGTAGGCGATTCTCAGTTGACTTGGAGTTTGCCGTAGAATGCCTGGTAGAGGAAGTTAGGTTCCGCAAGATGACTAACCGTAATGAACCGTAAAGTTTATGTTTGAACATCGCCCAGAAAGACGGCCTGAGTAGATTTTGTCATGAATTTGAGATTGATCGGCTCTATCATGCGCTCTATCCCATTTATCCCAGGCAGTAAAACACAAATAGATTATATACATGAATTTAAGTACATGAGCCCCTGAAACCACGCAGGTAAATATGTCACACATGGAGTGTTTGGGTACATTCAAAGTCATTGCACTTGCTCCACCTGAGGATTTGGGAGGTTCCTACCCGCCTTCGCCCACGACCGAAGTCCCGCAAAGCGCAGAGCCGTGGGTCGCTCCGCGTCAGTGGCCGCCTCCACGGAACCGCAGACTGCACCCCAAAGGAACCGCCGAGCGCTCCCGCCGACCTCGTGGAGCCGGCAGAAGTCATCGGACGCGTCGAGAAGTCATGCGCACAGCGCGAAGAGGGGCCGAACAAGATCCGGGCGACGCCAGCGCCCCCGGTGACGACGTTCGAGGACGTCGATGAGGACGTCGATGATCGTGAGGATGTGCGTAGCGTGCGTGAGTGGCTGGGGCAGTCAGAGAGCGAGCTGCTGACGTGAGGGTTTGGGGAGAACTTTGGGTCAGGAGGCGGAAAACACAGATGTATGACACAGATTTTTGACCAACTTGTTTCATATATACCGCTTTTGTTTTGAGGACATTGAACATCAAAGTCTTGGGTGCAATCCTGATTCAAGAATATATGAAGTAACAGTGCTGGGGGTAAGAAAGGATGAGGCCTTCATTTACCAGGTATTTGTCATCAAAATGTTGGGTGAGAACTGGTCTGAAGAGGAACGGATATCACTCAACTGTCGACTTCAAATAGAGCGATCTCATCATGAGAAGACACTTGATTCCCAGAGTTGGTTGGAAGTAAAAGCTTCAATTTGTGTTCCAAAACTATGGGTTTCCTGTCGATTTATGCTTAAACCCTGCTTGCGATCTAAAGAGGACGCTGAATAATTCCTGTCTACCAAAGCTCACCTTCCAAATCTCAACAGCAGCCGAGGGCTGAGATCCCTTCTTTTTGTTGAGCTGCCGGTTGAGGATTTTGCCACATGCAACGATCCCCTAGCAGACTGTATCATCATGGCGAGCAAAGACTTGCAAGGAAGGCAAAGATTCCTTCCGAAATCTCTCTTTGAACCTGGATTTGATCTAATTTATGTTCCTTGCCTATTGTGGTCAGTGTTAGTTTTGGTGCTTCTGTAGTTGGGATAACATCCATGATGTATTGTTTTATTGTGGGCATGTAAACTTGGAAGTGGATTTCGATCTGTTTTGGACATGTTCAAAATCCAGGAACCCGTTATGACCATGTGTGAGCCCTGCCGGTCCAAGATGGTTTGCGCCAGCCCACGGAGGGAGTCGGTTTGCATGTGTTTTTTCCTTGGCATTTGTTGTGGTCAATCAAGTACTGTACCAACAAAAGGAGCTTTTGAGGTTCAGTTGCCCTCAAGGTGTCCAACGAACATGTTGGCATGTGCGATCACTACAAGTCTCAAGCTGGCATGTGCCAAGTCACAAGTGCGCATGAAAGACAGACTTGGTAAAGGCTCACATGTCCAACAAATGTCATTTTCTCAGCCCAAGGCTTCGAGAAAAAGGACCGTCGGGGGTGTGGGGTGTGGAGGTAGACCTTGTTGCCCAGTTTGATTATGTGTTTCCATTTGTGTGGCCTTGTTTGCCCAGCTCCGTTGAGTATATATAGGTGCCTTGTAGGGTCTTGTATTTCCTGTCGTCCGCGGAACAGTGAGCCACTCACATGAGTGGTGGCAGTCTCAGCTATCATGTATCTCCTTGAGAATACATGGCAAATATCAAACCGTTTTGGATGATATCAGTATATCAATATGAAAAAGGCCTTCCAGAACTTCCACACATCTATCAACTGGCCAATTTGTTTGCTTGGAGACATGATTTGAGGATATTCAGGAGGTCCAGAGTGTCCACTTCATCCACTTTGCCCGGGCCATCAAGGCCTTGTCGGCTCAAAGCCGCGTGACTTGCCACACGTGGCGTTGGACACGCCGCGTGTCGCACAGCGGCTGGCGCAATGACACGTCCTTGGGCTTTGTCACTTGGCGTCGGAGGGAGGTGTTTGACATGTTTTCCATCCAGCGGTGCGAGGAATTGTAATCATGTCCTTGGGCATGTAGACCACATGGACAGAGTGGAAGGTCTTGGCAATTCCTGCTCTTTTGGAAGTCTTTTTCAGCGGATGTTGACACAATTTTGGTTGGGGATCTTTGCGTGATCCACGGACCTAGATCAAGGTGCTGGTATGGCTGCATGAAATGCAAGTAAAATCATTTTTTAGATCTCATGTTTCACATCACCCATGGTACACATCAGGCAGTTCTGAACGTCAGTTCTAGTTCCTCTGTGAAATGCCTTGAACTCACAGGTTCTTTCTTTGGCAGAAAAGCCATTTGGTCCCTCCCACAGATCTCAGCTTCGACCATGCCTGTCATGGAATCAAACAGTCTTCTTCAGCTTCAGCTTCTTCTATACAAAACACCGGAAAAAAGAACACAATCCTTTTAGGATCCTGTAAGGATCCTATAGGTCCTTCCAAGCCGGTTCTTATAGAAGATCCTCCAAACCCCGCCCCCCCCTGTAGGAAATGAGCAGTAAATGACTCACTTCATCCCACATCGAACGAGCTATGGTTTCATCCCATGCTGCTCGACTTGAGTCGAGGATCTTGCACTACTTGGCTGCGGGCTTGGCCCGACCGGCGCCAAGGACTGGAGAGAAGAGACAACAAGAGATGGGTGACGGTGACTGTGTTTGAATAGGTAAACCTCAACCTGGCTGGGTGGACTGATCTATTTTCCGAACCTTCCACGGGGTCGTTGGGAGGTCCCCCCCAGTTAAGGCTCACACCCCATATGAGCCTAACCGTGATTCAAAGGACTATTGCTGGAGGGTTGTGGCCAGTAAGTGTGCAAAGGCACGTTGGTTGCATGTTGTGTGGACCTCAGAAAGGCAAAACTGTAAGTAGGATTTTTGGAACGCCAACATGTCCAAGTTGTTTTTTCCTTGAGGGTTCTTGGACAAAGAACACACATGGAACAAAACAATCAATATGTTTCTTAAGACCCCTATAAGACCCTAAGCACCTCGCCAGGAAGGTGCTATTGCCACCATTGACCGTCGAGCACTTCAGCGCGAAATGCCTGGATTCCACGTCTGCGGGGTTCTTCCTTCGACGCTTGGGCGTTTCTTCATTCGTGGATTTCGGTGAACGCCTGTGGGTGTTTTGTCTTCCTCTCGAGGTCGCAGAAGGACTGTCGAAACACACCCGGATTGAGCTCGCCATCAACACTCTTCATTCTCAGGGATGAATCCATAGGGGTGCACATGACGATTTTCCTTCTAGTGTGTGTCCCAGTAAACCTGTCACAGTCGATAAAAAGAGGGTCACTATTTGTGTGATGGAACGGCCTGCAACTGAACCATCATCATCCACTGGTGCAGGGAATGGGATACACCCTCAAACTATTTCCTCCAAAAAGGTTGTATCAGTAGTATCTCTTATTATTTTTTGGCAGCAGAGCAAAGGCACAAGAACGACCCGTGCTTTTCATCTTGAATCTTCAATCGACCGAATTTTGGGCCGGAGGCATTTTTCAGTAAAGAAGAGCTGCAATCAACAAAAACATGCCTTTTCAAGGGTTGCTTTTATAAGTCCATCAACACCCCTTTGGACGGCCAAAAGATGTCGTTTTCTTTTTGGATTCCTGTTTCAAGTACGGGTCTTCAAGTGGGACGACAAAAAACTTCAGTTCCCAAGTCGGGTCAAGTCGGGTCACCTCCGAGAGGCAAGGATCTGACGTCACCTAAAAGGGAAGCAAGACCCAAGGAGAGCAAGATCCCTCGAAGTGGATCATCATGATCGATGGCGGTGGCCTTTGCATCGACGCTCTGGATTGCAGGTGAGGCTTCGTCGGTGAGACGAGTGTCACCGTTGCATCGACCATGCCACGTTATGGATTTAGGGCTCGAAGATTTATGGAGGGGTTGGGCATGGTTGACCGTTTGAGATGGAGAGATTGCATGAGGTGATTTTTGAAGAATGCAAAAGAGCTAGCAACACTACTAGTAACAAGGGCATTACTAGTAACAAGAAGCTACTAGTAGCAAAGTGCATCGCTAATAGTAGCTTCTTGTTACTACAGTAGTAGCGATGCCAGGAGCTACTAGTAGCGTCCTTGCTCCGTTCGTAGCGATGCCCTTTGGTACTAGTAGCTTCTTGTTACTAGGCACCGAGAGCTCACTCCTTTTCAACAATATGTTTTCGAGTTGAAACTGCTTGTGCCAAACAAACGTTTGCGCTTGCGCAGCAACCGCAATTGACCCGCATGGAGAGTTGATCGTTGATGATGTGTGAATCCACAGTTTCCAGCCAGCGATGGTAGACTTCTTAGACCTTCTTAAATGGACATGGTCATTTTCCACGTGTTCTTTTTATCGAAAGCCATGTTGCCATGTTTTGGCAATGACAAAAGCGGCAGCGCCAGTTGTGGGAGAAATTGAATGACTTGTCATTTCAGTTATGATAGTTATGCACATTTATGAACTTTCCCTTTTCAGTTATCCAGTGAACTCATCCGTTTCTTACTAGAGAATTGGTATCCAATCTCCCAGACCCCCAGAGTCTGATGCCGCGCAGATGATTCCCCCGTGCGTCAGGAAGCGGGCAGAGACGGACCATGGCAGTTCCTCCCAATGGCCTGCGACCTGGGACCCGGAGGCGGATGTGAGAGGAGGATTCAGTTGCCTCACGTTGCTTTCCGCGAGGCACTCATTCCACTTGCTCGCTATTGAAGGGTCTATTTGCAATTAATTATAGTCAATAAAGATAGTAATACGTATTAATACGTATTAATGTATCAGTCCACAGTTATCAGTATTGAATGTTTAACATACCTGCTTCATTGTCACCTATTTTATGTACCTGCTACAGATGACCTCCTAGACTCTGGCTGGCGCTTCAGGCGGTGCCCTTTAGTGGGGGCGAGGCGTCCTTTGCCAACTACAGCCAAGTCTTTGTGCCCTACTGCAGTGGCGACTTGTGGCTAGGCGACTTGCAGCAGTTGCAGGCACTTATTAAGGCAACGAGTTCCCGACAGAAAAAGGTGATCTGTCGTTGGACAGATGCCCCCCTTCAAACTCATCCCACCCCAACAAAGCGCCGAAGACGGAGAGTCCCCAAAGAAGCCGACGATCAAAACGACCTGTCCCCACACTCCCAAGGCCGCCCGCGCAGCTCGGTGTCTGTCGCCAGGCCGCGACCGAGAGCGGCGCTTGGTGATCGGAGAGCTGCAGATGAGACGCTTGGGCCGAAGTAAAAGGATTCGTGGATTCAATCTCATCATGGTGACGGTTGATTGATCAAGAACCCCTAATGTAGACTCTTGATTCATAACCCTCCCCTATTTTGGGCGGTGATTCATCAACAGTCTACATTACCAGAATGGTTCTACATCTTCATACGGGGGTGTTATTAATTGTTAATCATCAGCCTTCATTGGAGTGGTTGACCTTTCCATCCAGAAGGCCTTGAAGTCTTCTGAGTAGGTTTGCTCAACTAAAATCCACACACACAACTAGTCATATGAAGAAAACGCCCACAAACTGGTTACACCGTACAGTTTCCCAAACAAATCCAACAAAAACAAAAAACAATCCCAACTTAATACGACTTTTCGGGAAGGGATTTGAGCAACAAATATGTTAATATGCTCACTATGTTTCTTGTTTTGCCTCTATATATCATTGATACTGTTCTAGTTTTCATTGGTATATATATATATATATGCGACCGACAGTTTGCAGCATCATTCAGTTGTTCTAGACACCTATTGGGCTGTACTAATACCTTATACAGCAAGCTACTATCAGTCATGAGGAACGAATCCATTCTCCCACACCCACGGTCACCAAGAATCCCATGGAAAACAACAACTCACAATCCTGAATTTCGCATCGGGTAAAATGATTGGCTTCAAACCCAAGGTTTGAAGCAGTCACATTGTCATAAGCACATCCCAGACAGTATGGATCTGTGTCATTTTCCTGCTGCGCTGCAGTGCCGGGCATTTTTGCGAGACGAAAACCACTATAGTAGAAGATAAAACACCGTCACTTGCTTCCTCACCCACTGGTGGTATATGCAAGAATGTAGGCCACATGATCCAGACACTAGAACTCAGCTAGTTTGGTGTTTGAGACCTTCACATGTTATTGGAAAAGAGGAGAAACCAGAAACTGAGACCTTCATCCTTTGACCTTAATCCTTTGCCGCTTAGGCGGCCACTTGATTCTGGACGCTGTTGTGGAGCATCTGGTGAATACCACTACCTTGAGGCCAGACATTGTCTTTCGTCTTCAATTTCAAAGAGGGGACTCCATTTTACATGTACTTGGATCCATGTTCTTCCAAAGCGATGGGGGATCCATGTGTCTATGCAGGAGTCGTTGGTAGGGGGACCGCCAACGTCGGACCCTCACAGACCACCGCAGAATCGGTGGATCTGACAAGCCCATACAGTAAGTCTGACCAGAAACATGCCCATTTGCGACGAACTTTTTTTTATGGGTGTCTTTTTTAAATAGGGGGACCTCCCAGGCAATGGTCCCCCTAAGGTTGACCAGTCTACCCAGCCAGGTTGAGGGTTTGCCTATTCAAACACAAACCCATATGTCAATGGCAACTTTTGTTTTGCCTCTAGCCGTTTACCCAAGCCGAGGGAAGTTGCTACCATGTCATGGGTTGGTCTTCACCAGAAGGTAGGGGCTCATCCTGCGGTCACCCGTGGAAAAAAGAGAACACGTTCACAGAAGGTTGCAACGAAAAGTGCAGTGGGCTCAGCCAGAGCCATAGAACACTGGTGCTTCACCACTTTGAACCTGCCATGCTGAATCATGTTTAGCTATATTGAACCCTGAATTCGAAGCAACCGGGCCCCAAAGCGTCTTGACCATACCTATTTCACGCGAGGACTGCCTCCTCCGTGGTCTTCGCGGGCTCCAGTGCTGGAGGGATTGGGGTGTTCCACCACGCAGACTGGCGCCTTGGTTGGGCTTTTTGCCCATGGCTCGCCGTGCCCACACAGTCTGCCAGAGGGCCTTTTCTCGGCCGAAGAAGCCGGATAGCCATGGGTAGCAATAGGCAATGTTCCAGCTTTGCTTGTTGAAAACATTTCTTCCCTGTATATATACTATTCTATAATCACAGAAGCAATATAGTTTCCCTGATAGAGATGCTGCTGTATGGGACTTGTGTTTGGATAAGCAAGAGCTCAAGTTGTTCAAGCTTTGTAGGAGGACCGGGCGACGTGCGAGCGGCTAGAACGTTTGACCTCTAGGCAGCTTGAGTTGTTAGTTGCCCACCCAATGACCCAAACTTCCTTTTGGGACCATATACTGACCACGTTAGGACCCAAAGGACCTTGTCTTTGGATGGGTGCGTCTGAGTGAGTATCCCAAAATGTCACCTTTCCATGTGACAGGGGGCATTCCATGTATCATGCGCTTCACCCACCAGCCAAACCAATCAGAGCCTGCCCATCATCCAAGCATGTTTCTATGAACAGGCTGCCACCTCAGATTTCGTGGCAGGCGCAGCGAATCAGACATACATAAGTGCAGATTTCGTGGCATTTCGACGCATGCTGTTGCCGCAATTCCCGATGAAAGGAAAGGAGGACGAGGACGAGGACAGTTCGACTTTTTTGGTTGCCTCTGCAGCATGTAGCTTGCAGTAACTTGCAAATCTTGGAGCTGCGTTCATGTTGTCACCGGTGCGAGCGCCGATCGCGGGAACTGAGTAGAGAGGTCTCTGAATTAGAAGCGGGCAGCTCGTAGGCTTCAAAGTGTTCCGTCGAACGTTAGTGGAGCAGCAGCGTTGCCACGCCCGGCCGCCTGAGTGCATTAGACATTTGCAGCTTGTGAGCCACGCTAACGCTGTCTTTGCTCACATGGTGCCACACACGCATTGGGATCCAGCGCTGGAGGGATTGGGGTGTTCCACCACGCAGACTGGCGCCTTGGTTGGGCTTTTTGCCTGTGGCTCGCCGTGCCCACACAGTCTGCCAGAGGGCCTTTTCTCGGCCGAAGAAGCCGGATAACCATGGGTAGCAATAGGCAATGTTCCAGCTTTGCTTGTTGAAAACATTTCTTCCCTGTATATATACTATTCTATAATCACAGAAGCAATATAGTTTCCCTGATAGAGATGCTGCTGTATGGGACTTGTGTTTGGATAAGCAAGAGCTCAAGTTGTTCAAGCTTTGTAGGAGAGCGGGCGACATTCGAGTGGCTAGAATGTTTGACCTTCGCCAGACAACACTAGGCAGCTTGGGTTGTTTGTTGCCCACCCAATGACCCAAACTTCCTTTTGGGACCATATACTGACCACGTTAGGACCCAAAGGACCTTGTCTTTGGATGGGTGCGTCTGAGTGCGTATCCCAAAATGTCACCTTTCCATGTGACAGGGGGTATTCCATGTATCATGCGCTTCACCCACCAGCCAAACCAATCAGAGCCTGCCCATCATCCAAGCATGTTTCTATGAACAGGCTGCCACCTCAGATTTCGTGGCAGGCGCAGGGAATCAGACATACATAAGTGCAGATTTCGTGGCATTTCGACGCATGCTGTTGCCGCAATCCCCGATGAAAGGAAAGGAGGACGAGGACGAGGACAGTTCGACTTTTTTGGGTTGCCTCTGCAGCATGTAGCTTGCAGTAACTTGCAAATCTTGGAGCTGCGTTCATGTTGTCACCGGTGCGAGCGCCGATCGCGGGAATTGAGTAGAGAGGTCTCTGAATTAGGAGCGGGCAGCTCGTAGGCTTCAAAGTGTTCCGTCGAACGCTATTGGAGCAGCAGCGTTGCCACGCCCGGCCGCCTGAGTGCATTAGTCATTTGCAGCTTGTTAGCCATGCTAGTGCTGTCGTTGCTTTTGTTCAAGTGACGAGCTTCGCATGGTGACACACACATTGGGATCCAGGATTTATGTGGCTTTGGCACGTCCGCGGTCCTCCAAAGTAGAGATGGCCTGACGCTGCTGCAGAGGGCTTCACAAGTGGGACACCATGAACCGTTTGGCAACCATGAGTTTGACGGTCCGGTTGGTTTTGTACTGGTTTGCCGGTCAACACCGAATTGGAACTCGAATCAAAGGATGCTGAAATATTGATTTTTGGAAGGTGCTGGTGAGGACGGTTCCAACTTTCATTTTTCATCAGACCAAATTGTTTGGTATGCGAGGTGGCATGCCATCACCCATGGAACACCGTTCCATTCTCTCACTCCAGACTCAGCAAACTGTTGCATGAAGTGATGGACCCCAAGGAATGAGAGACTCCCTGGGTGTAGAAGCGGTTTGAAAATTGGAGCAACAATCAAAGTAATGAGACTGGGTCGGAACAAGTCATGATTGAAACAATAGATTGGTTTTCCACGTTTCCAATGAAACACTAGACGCTAGACGTACCAGATCTATAATGAAATATGTTGCAAATCACGTGTGCATATGCAGTTTCGCGCGCGCAGAAGTCCTGAGGATAACGACGAAACTCCAGGCGGCCGGCGCTACCCTGGGCGCTGACGGTGTGGTGGTGCTGCCGATGGCAGGGCTTTTCTTTCCCATGGAGTGGCCGGTGCTGTGGGAGGAGCTGCTTGGCAGAACGAAATCGATGAAAAAACACTGCAATGTAGACTCTTGACTAATGAACTGCCCGTATATGAAGAGGATGTCCAATTCAAATGGGGTTTATTCATCAAAAGTCTATATATGAAACAGCCTGAGACTGTTTAACAACCTGAGACTATGTGCGGCGATGTCGAGGTTTGGATCAAACATCCCTCATCATCGAACCACGCAAACAAGTCGGCGGGTCTGACTGGTGGGACAATTGGAGGGGAGAACAAATAAATTTGACCTGATTTAGGTGGAGATATTGGAGTACATAAAAACACCCAATGATTCCAAGGGACTTAACTTGAGATCTGATTCATTTGGATCCATCAAGGCCACCTCGTCTTCCCTCCTAGAGGGCGCACAGCCAGCGGTGCCGGTGCCACGCGCCGAGCTTTGTGCGGCGTCCGCGGCGTCCGCACCGTCGCCCTCAGGTTCCGCTGGGGCCTCGAAGTGCCGGTGGATGGTTTCATGGCCTCATGGTGCCACCTGCTCGAAGGCGGATGGGGTGCATGGGTGTCCGGATGTGGAGTCGTGGCGTGTGCTTTTGAGAACAAACGCGACGCGACCTAGCAGGTTTTTGGGTTCAGCGAACGCGGCAGTAGAAGTGAATTTGTTTATGAATTTGGGGGGGTGTTCCTTCAAGTGAGTCCAATTGCCGCAAACCAACCAATTGTTGCTAACCATTGACTGAAATATTTAATTCTTGCTGACTATTGTGGGAATTGGGCACATCTGCCCAGTCAGTGGATAATCTTTCAACTTCTTTCAGGATTGGTTTCCCCACTCAAATCTAACGGGTGGACAAAGGTTAACCGGTTAACCTTTGATTTTCCGGCAGGATCAGCACCCAGTGTTATAGAGTGTCACGTTCGTGTTCAACTTTAATTCTACCCACAAAAGGCGATGGTATGGTATGGTACAGAGTTTGTGGTTCAGAACAGCGAGCATGAGTGCTTCCAGCATGACTATCTTACTTTGATAGGAACAATTCTGCAGCACCAAGTTGACCGTTCCAAAACATGGGATATAGGGCTTAGTTGAAACTCTGCTTGTCTAGATGTTCCATCAAGTTCCATCAACCACCGCATAAATTTCAGAATCACCAGATTCAGATGTTCCATTTGTCCCTGCCATATCGTCGCTACGCGTCATTACACATCCATTGGCCTCGCTTCGCCAGAAAGCTTCCTCCACGAGGGCTGTGTGAGCGCTGCCACAGCGGCTGGAAAGCCCAAACGAGAATGCCAGGACTGGGGGAGGAGGGGGTCGGTCGAGGCATAGACAAGTACTTGGATTACACTGATTGAAATCATTGTGAAAATGGAAAACCACCTGTCAGTTTGGGATTTGAAGCTCCAGTGATCGGGACTTTTTAAGGGGAATGGAGCTCACTTGTCAACAGCGAGCCAAGATGGCTCAAGGCCTTTGTGATCCCTCGCAGACCTTGGGTTGGCAACCATGGCATTAATATGCCAACGCATTTGTTGGCATGGCAACACATTCCTTGGGTTGGGTTGTTGCTGAGACCTTGCTCATGGCATATTCTGTTTTGTGTAGAGCAACAGATGTTTGTTGAAGCAGTAGGTCCCATCATTCTACACCTGCTCATGCCTCGGTCGATTCTCATACCATGCCAGGGCATCAAGGCATCCGTGACGAAGCCGAACAGATTTTCCATTGAGATGATTGAGTGTTTTTCCCAACATGAAAATACATAGTATGAACATGATCATATGGCAAAGTCGGCAACGTGACCCAAATGATAACACCATCACCCCACGTAACATCACCCCACGGCCAAAAGAAGGAATTAAGGGGGCCAACTGTGGGCCAGACCGCCGCAGGATGTCTCCAAGATCCTGCCATATATCAAGGCCGGGTGGCAGAACGATGGTACAGAAAGAGGAAAAGCAAGAACATTTGTGGGTACCGAATTATGAGTGGATTTATTGAACATTGGTGGATTCTGAAGGATTCTGCAAATTGCTGAAGGATTCTTGAGTTCGCCTGTTGTTCGTTGTCTGTGTCGCTGCTGGCGAGCCATCCTCGTTTGTAAACTCGAATAGTTTTCTCGACGCTCGGAAGGTTCGCTTCAGCGGTTGTCAGGGTCACCAGCGGCTGTTGTCGGGTCATGACTTCGCTTCATGGCGGGGGTCCCAGCGCTTGATGTGTATATGCTCGGGAGACCGTAACACCAGGCCGGCGTCCCGACCCCCGGACGCCAGGCGTGTTTTTGGGGCATGGAATGAATCAACTATGTGCAGAGCGGTTCTTCTGTATCCTCCCTGAGTCATTCACATGGAAGTGCCAAACCACCTGCTTGCTGAGAAGAAGGACGCTCTTGTCTCGAGGCCATGCCATTCACTTCCATGCTTTTGTTTCAGGGAATGTATTGGATCTTCTTTTCACGGGGTACTTGATTTCCCGATGTCTCAGGTGCTCTCGCTGTGTTTTAATGCCACGGCCACGGGCGACAGCCAGCCAGCCTGACCGGTTGGTGCGGTTCTTCCAGCTCCGCAGGCTCAGGTCTTCATGCTTCAGAATCAGTTTGATCAGAGTCTCAGCTCGGATGATCATGGGATATGAGGATGGGTAGGTTGACCTAGAGCTCCAAAGAGTCGCTGGTAGGTGGGTCCCTGGCTGCTAGGTCAACCGGTTTTTGTGGTGCCATATATTCACAGGTGTCGAATAGGGAATCTTCCAGAGAAGTGAATTTGCACGGCTGGATTTCATCTGCAGCAGAAGCGTCCTTGTTGTCCGCACCAGGACCCCATGTGTTCGGCTCTTGATACTTGCCTTTTTTCTCAGAAGCATCGTCCCTCGAACAGTTCATGTTCACAGTTGTTTACATAGTCGTTGTGAACTTCAGGCCCTGTAGATGGCAGAAACCTGGATCTGTGGACGTTTGAACCCTAATGTAGTTGATTGTGGTCCCGATGTGTTCATGTGACACTGATTTGTTTGTTGTGAACTTTCATGTGGAGAGTTGCTAGGGTTGCTTGTGCCAACACAAGTGATAGGGGGTAGAGTTAAGACATACTGTTCTTGATGGACAAAATCCTGCACCACTTTGCGCACACTTTTCTTGCTGCCCTCGTTCTCCCTCGTTAACATTGGGGCCACCACAGTGAGAAAACAAAAACAAGTTGAAGGTCCAAAATCCTGCACCACCTCCTCAGAGGGGTCGCGCCAACATTGAATGAGGGGGCGGGGGGGTTGCCATGCGACCCTTCCAGGGTAAAGTGGTGAGGTGGTGCAGGATTTTGTCCATCAAGAGTAGCGAAGGTTTCCCCTGGGTATGAGAAAGAAATGTCTAGTTTTATTACAGTTGATGACACGTCATTACCATGGTGATTGTACCTGACCGTGTCAAGTTTGACCATTGTGTTTGATGTGATAGGTCAATTAATTTCACCTTTGTGTCCTCTCAAAAAGTATCTCGAAGAGATGAATACTTTACATGTAGAGTTTAAGTTTAAGGCATAAATTTCCAGTGCTTCAAATAGAGGTGACTGGAACTTTGACATGATCTTGAAGCAGATACTTTTCAGCATTCCAGAGTTTAGGGTTACTCTCCAGAATAGGGAAGACGATTTTCCTCCATTCTGGCGGGGGTATCAGTGTCTACTCATGTCTACTCTACTCGTCTTTGTGGGAGGATCATTGATGAACATGGCCGATGGTGCTTGGATAATAGACTTTGCATGAAATTGACTGCCACAGGGTGAGCCAGAGCCATTTGATCCGTGTTCAGCAGTGCCATCAACGTGTTGAACGTGTTTTTCACCGTTTCATGGGAAGGTATCAAAGGGTGGAAGCAAAGCATGCCAGCCTGTTTTTCACAAATTCTAGCGAGTGAATTGACTGGAGAGGTCTACGCTGTGCTCGGGGATGCTGAAGACGATATAGTAATAGCGATCTACCAACCAGTACAACTACGGGAGCAGCGCTATATCTAGACCAATCTGAAAGGAATGGTTGCCAACAAAGGGGTTGGACACCTTGGTTGCCCTTCTTCTGAGTCAATGTTGCCCCCACTCTGAAACAAGAAACAATCAGCAGAGTCCCTAGATGACTTGGCAGCTGTAGTTGTAGAGTCCTCCTTTTACCCACCTTTGTGTTGGCGGCAACAATCTCTAGATGTTTAGGGCTTTGATCGCCTGTATCTGTACAACTACTCGCTAGTTAGAGCTTCTTCTCACTTTTGAAGCGATACCTCATGCGTTTGGTGCCTTGGCGCGCAGCTGCACGACTTCGCATCGACCATGTCGACGCCCGTGCTGATGGCGCCACTGGAAGATGTAGCCTGGATTGAAAGTGTGTCCTCGGATGGGAAAACATCAGGCTGATGGGAGGGCAGAATACCGTAGAATATCATAGGTTAGTGGTTGATGTGTGTCACGTTTCTTGTTCGTTTGATTTTGTTGTGGCTACGCTGATGATTCCAGGAGAGTTTGGAGGTAGAGCCATGCCAGAGTAGTCCATTCGTGCCAACATCTAGTGGGATGACAGCCCAAGTTCCAGCTGTTTTGTTGGAGGATAACGCAACTCCATTCAGCTGGTTCCTTGTTACTCGTGAGGCTTAGATACACGCAACCGATGGTGATCTCAGCAGGTGAGTCGAATGAATTGAATCTCTGTTTCACCAAGCTCGAGCTGAGCTAAGTATATAGATACAAGTATATAGTTATCCCAAAATAGATAGCGATACATTTTGTGAAACGGGATCCACTTCTTGTTTGCCGCTATTTGGGGACGATTGAAACTACTGCTAATTGTGAACTATGGAACCTTCGGGGGCCCTGCGAAGGGTATCCCAATCTTTTCATACCCCAAGGGCTCGTCAAAAGGAGGATTCGTTGTTATTTGTTTTTCAGTATAGCCCTAGGGTGGATGCCTTTCGCACAAGCAAGATCATGTAAACGTAAGTTTTTGCGGTTTAGGCGGAGTTGGAATCCCCCAAAGCCAGAAAAGAAGCTCGCAACATGGAACGTTGACGTTGCTCGCCACTCGCCAAAAGGTCTGGACACACAGGGTCTGGTGGTGTTTCTGCAGAGAACGCCCGCCAGCGGGGTGAGCGTGGTGAACAAACAAATCGATGTGTGTAGGTATAACTTACCCTAAGGGTCCAGGACCATCCAGATCGGGTGTGCTTTGGCCCCCCGTTCCTCCCATTTCTCTGGAACAGGAATTATACCTGGACCCTTTGGGTTACTAAAAGACCGCTTGGGACCTACCGCACCTTTTGGTGTGCAGGTGATGGTCGGGGATCTCGAAGATATGAGACACTCCAATGGGCAGCTGGTGACCGTCCGCGTGCTGGCGCTGGAGACCGAGCTTTGAGAAAACTGGGCATAGTGGGAGAGTGATCGGCATGATTGGCCGAAGCAGTGGAGACCAGTTAGTTGGTGAGAAGCCGTGAAGCCTACACAATAATCTAATATACACTCAGCAACTATATAGATCCAGGGAAAACAACAACAACATTCAACATTCAGCATTCAACAACAAGAACAACATTCAACATTCAACATTCAACATACAACAACAACAACAACAACAACAACAACAACAACAACAACAACAACA